TGCCCCTTTTAGGCATCTAGTGAAGTGTTCTGAAAGAATTGCCAGTCATCCCTCCCATTGTTCAGATTAAATCCACTCCTTGAGACTGGAGATAACCTCCATGAGGTGGACCCTATGACAATTGGGGTGGTCATCATGGAGCTCTCCAAAGCTCAGAGCCTGGAGAGGCCACCCCAAACCATCCTATGGATGGGACATCTCTGGTACTGGGACTTGCACTCTTCAACGTATTCACTAGTAATCCGGAAAAGGAGGTAAAAAGGGAAGTGGCCCAGTTTTCAGATGACAGAAGGATACTCAAGAATGTTAAGTCCAAAGAAGACTGAAGAGCTGCAAAGGGATCTCACAAACCTGGGTAACTGGGCAGCAGAATAGCCTATTACAGTACATTCAACATTGAGAAGTGCAAAGCCATGCTCATCGGAAAAGCTATTCCTGGCTATTCATAGACAATGCTGGGCTCTACATTTGCTGTTCTCTTGCTGGTACGGTATCTGAGAGTCACCATTAGTAATTCTCTGAAAGCGTCTACTCCTAGCACAGCAGCAATCCCAAATGCTATTGCTGTGATAGGGATGATTAGGAACGGGATACAAAATAAGACAGAACAGCGCATCGTGCCACTATCTAAATGCACAGAACGCCTGCACCCGAAATACTCTGTCCTGTTTTGGCTGGCACATCTCAAAGAGCAGGCAGTAGAGCTGGAAATATTCAGAGCAGGGCAGGGATCCGGCACTTGGGCTCTAGAGAGGCTCTCAGGAACTAACTGTTTAAATAATTACCAGTGAACTGGAAGAAAATATGGAGTCCCTGCTGGTAACATGTGTGGGTGACAAAATTCAAGCTGAGTGGGAAACAAGGCTGAGGCCAGGGCAGTGACGTGAAGCGAGCTGGGTCCCTTGGGAACCTGGGCCCATGCGAACAAAACAGGTTTTCACAGAGCCAAATGCAGGGTCCTATCCTAGCCCCAAAGCCTGCAGGCCACACCCCGGGTGGGGGGTGGGGTGGAACTGTCCCCAGGCAAGCAGGGACTCTGAGAAGGATTTAGGGTCATGCTGGGCTAGCTGCTCAACCAGAGCTCCCAGGGGATGCTGTGGTGAATACGGCTACAGCCGTCAGTAGTCACACGAGCAGAGGAGGGAGCAGGGCAGGGAGGTGACACAGCATCTGTGAGACTGACACTGGACTCTGCAGCCTGCTCTAGGGGCCACATTTTAAAAAGAGGTTGAAAAATTGGAGATGTGGCAGCAAAGAGCCCAGTGTTTTGAGGGCTGAGTCATAACACCTTCTTGTGAGCTATCAAGTGGAGCCCAGTCTGTTTAGCTTCTACAACGGGAGGCTGAGAGGTGGCTTCATTCTAGTATCTAAGTGCCTTCCCAGAAAGAAAGTGTCGGCATTAAAGGGCTGTGTAATTAATGTTGCAGAAAAAGGCAGCACAAGATCAGTGGGTTGGAAGGTGAAAACAGACACACTGATATTAGAAATGAGGCACAAATATTTCATAGTGAGGATGATTCACCATTGGAACAAACTACCAAAGCAAGTGATGGATTCTCCATTTCTTGATGTCTTCTAAGGACGACGAGATGCCTTTCTGGTGTGTGCTTGTATCGAAACTCAGCTGCTATGATCTACAGGAGGGCTGGGATAAGCAGGGGTCAGATTTAATGTTCTAATGGTCCCTTCTGGCCTGAAAGTCTACTAATTAGTGAAAAACTGAGTGTGGCCTAAGGAACAGCCTCTGGGGCGTTACGGTGCAGCCAGCTTGATCCCCAGACTCAGTGTCATTAAGTGGGATGATCCAGGGGAAGCTGCTCAAACATCCAGAGAGGGTCAGGACACCAGACTAACATGGGAGGGGTGGGTGCGATAGTGACATCACAAAGGCCTGTTGCAGGACCTCAGCCTATTGGGGGACAGTGGCGGGGAGGTGATGACCTCACAGAGAGACCCTGACATCATCCAGGCAGGAGAGAGGTGCCAGGCAGGGACGACCTCAGAGATTCCTGTGGCTTTGAAGCAGTAAGGCTCCTTCTCAGGGTCTCTCCTTGGGGACAGAGAGAGAATTAGAATTAACGTACGTGAGCATGAGGAGGAACCTCGCTGGAATTTTCTCCTTCTTTACTACTGATTTTGTGGCCCGTTTAGAAGGTAAGAGCCTCAGAGAGGTCTGGAATCTGTTCAGTCTGATCCACCTGGTGCCAGCTGAATTCTAGGGATAGAAATAACTACGTTAAGGTGATTTGATTTCCTACCAAGGACTTTGTCCCATAGAATAACTGGGGGTTTAAGGGGGTTGTCCTTTTAGGTTTCCCCTTTCCTCCTCCCCTTCCTCTTTCTTTTTTCTTGCTTCTTTTCCCCCCTTTTCCATTCCTCCCTGCCTGCACCAAGGAGAGTGTGTGAAGGAGGTTTGCTGTCACTGTGGGAGGCCCTCACAAAGAGGTGGGGCTGGAAGGATGCTCAGAGACTGATCCCCTCCGGTGATGACCTGGGCCATCCTTTTGGACTTCTGCTCCCATCTCCCCACTGGGACAGCCGTACCGTGGTCCTGACCCCAACTTCCAGCCCTGGGGAGAGCAGAGAGCTGCCTGGCTATGCCAAGGCTTTTTTTTAGCTGCCCCCATGAAGCCCACTACGACGGCTTACCTTTTACCACCTCCAGATAGGATCTAATTCGTGCAGAGCTGCAGGCATGTGCCCTGCTAATGAGATGGGCTGGACTTAAATTCTTTATGCATGCCTGGGCAAGCACGCACCTTAGAGGGAACTATGGACACCCATGGGAGGGCTTAAATACACAACTGGCCCTCTAAAAATGGGGCATCTGGTCACCCTAGTGTTAGTAATCTGAAGGCAAGGGGGAGGCAGATCAGCCTGCCTTTGGATTCAGCGCCAAGCACAGAGACTCAAAACCCAATAATGAAATTTGGATCTGAATCAAGATTTTTTTGTAACCAAAGTTCAAGTAGGGGCAGAGCACAGGGCTTCATTTCATGCATGATTGTATTTCTAGGATACACAGCAGCAACTATAGGCAGCTATTAAAATCAATGGGAGTGCCAAGAAAAGGAAATTACTTCAGTTTAAGGGGGAAGCGTGTGAGTTTCAGTGAAGAAACTATGAAACACACGTTGTCTTCTTTGGATAAGGGGGAAGCTGTTTGTTTCAGGTTTTACATGAATTATAACAATTTGAATAATATGAAAAGCATAAAATAAAGCACTCTCCAGTCATTTAAATATTTCTGAAATAAAACTTTTCATAAATTTCATTTTGTGGAAAATGTGCCATTTCTTTCTGATTCGGGGGAAAGAAGATTCCCCATGCAGTGAAATTCCAAGTTTTCACCAGCTCTAAAACAGATCACTGGCACTCTATTGTAAACTCTAGTCTAAAACAATAACACAGTGAAGAGATCTCTGTCATCGGATGTATTCTGGGCAGCGTGGCCAACCTCTGGCTGTTCATTGAATCTTGCTAGTGCATCTGGTGGGAGCAGAGGCTGCTTTCAGATTAATCTCCATTTGCAACCCCGACTCTATAGCTTTGTAATAGAGATGTAGCCGTGTTAGTCTGATCTTGCTGAAACAAAAGACAGGACTATGCAGCACTTTAAAGACTAACAAGATGGTTTATTAGGTAATGAGCTTTTGTGAGCCAGACTCGCTTCCTCAGATCAAATTCTGGAAGAGAATTGGCATGACCATATATACCAAAAGAATATAATGGAAAAAAAGTGAACACATATAAAACTGACAAATCAGATTTAGAACAGAAGGGGAGTGAGGGGGAAGGCTAGTATCTATGAGATAATGATACTAGGGGTGATAATTGGGGATGCTATCTTTGCAATGGGTAAGGTAATTAGCATCTTTGTTAAGGCCCGTTCGTAAAGTGTCAAATTTAAGCATGAATGACAGTTCTGAGGTTTCCCTTTGTAGTCTGGTGTTAAAGTCTTTTTGAAGTAAGATACATGTAGGAAGGTCGTTAAGACTATGCCCAGGTTGGTCAAAGTGAAAAGAAACTGGTTTATCTTTGTGAAGGTGTCTGATGTCGGATTTGTGGGCATTAATTCTTTGGCGAAGTGTCTGAGGCGTTTGTCCAATATACATTGCAGAAGGACACTGTTGGCACATGATGGCATAAATTATATTTCTGTAGCTTTGGTGATGGGTCAGATAGGAAACCTGGCAGCATTTCACTAATGCCATTGTTCTTACAGGATTTTGGCCCCGAACAGTGGAAATCTTGAGAGCGCTGCTAATGGTGTGAAACTTCCACAACTTGGGGCCAAAATTCCACTCAGTTAATCTGGCTGCAGCAGCTGCAAACTTTGCTCACATAATTGAGATCCGAGTCTTGCCAAACTGACAGGTGAGCTCACAGGCATGGGAAGTAGGGGTGCTGTGTGTGTGTGTGTGGGGGGGGGTGCTGCAGCATCCCCAGATTTTCCACCTGGATTTCCTGCACACAGGAACTGGCCCCACAGCCCTGAGTCCCAGCCTCTGGGCTCCTCCTGTCTTCAGCACTCCCTGCCACCAGCCCTGGGCTCTGCCTCTGATCCATCCAGTCCGGGAGAGTTGACAACTCTTGGTGTGATTCTACCCTGGGCAGTAAGGGACACAAACAGCTTTTGGGGGGTGCAACTCAGCACTCCCACTTCAAAATTATTTCCAGCACCACTGGGTGTGCTTAACGTTGCTCAAGGGCATGCAGGATCAGGGCCTCTGAAATGTTCAGATAAACACAATTAAATATATACACAACCAACGTGAGCTACTGAGTTAGTAAAATGCAAGGGGATTCCACCTTGCTTTCTTTACTAATTCATACATTTCCTTGGAAATTCACAGTGGGATGGCTAGCATTTCAGCCCTCCCAGCATGATTCACAAAATCAAGCTTGGTTTGCTGAAAAATGAATGTATTTTACAAACCACAGTTGCTTAGCCATAGGTAGCAGCCCGAATCAGAAGTACAGTTGTGTGCTTGGTGGGCAAAGAGGGTGGGGAGAATTCAATAGGGCACGCTGTCTCACTCTCTTCCCAGTCGAGAAATCTTCCCAGTCGAGAAATCTTTCAAACATTCCGAGACGCAGGCAAAGTGCTGGCTTCCTTTGCGGAGATTAAGAATGTCGCACCTCCCCAGCCAACTTCAGGGAAAGCAAAATTGAAAAGCAAAGGTTTGTGATAGATCCTTGCTGATTTCGAAGCTGTTTTGATTTCTCTGGGCTAGGCTACCTGGGGCTGTATTGTTTTGTGGTGGGTGCTTTTTTGCCTTTACTCTTTTTCTTCTTTTGACAGAACAAAGTACTTTTAGAGACCTGAAACTTTTGTGAAACTCCCAGCTAATGCATTGACCTAGCCAAAGTTGTGTTGGTTTTGAACCATTCTCAATTACTAAGTGTTAGCAGTTCCTGAAGACTTAGAACTTTGATCTCTTTAAGGTGACATCACTTTTAGACTCACATTATCCTGTAATGAAATGTAAATTTCCTCGGAACTGACAGGAATGTCTTTCTTATAATCACTTAACGCTCTGTCAAGAATGAACAATTCTATCGGAGAGTAGTGGACATTAGATAAGAAACCCAGTTTTGGTCTTTAGTGACTTTTTTTGTGGCATGCAACCTGAGGGAATTTCTTATGAGGAGTGGATTAATTAGAAGGGTTTGTTAGCTCCCAGCTGAAAGATCTGATGATAATCCTATTTGTCTGGATTGTTTTTTTTCTAGCTGTTTTGGTATTAATATGCTTGCACCAAACTGGTACTAAGCTAGTCTATGGTTTGGGGGAATTTCCAGGCTGTAGGGAACTTAATACCTTAGTTTTCCTTTGAAGCTTTCTCTCTTATTCTTTCTGCAGCTTCTAATCAATGTTCCCTCTAATTTTTCCCATCCATGTGCAGATTTTATCCATCTATGTGTGGAATAATTTTTTCTACATGTACTAATGCCTGTGTAATGTGCACCACTAGTAGAAGCAAAAAACTAGCTGTGAGCACTCTGCTAATCAGCTGGGAAGCATTTGAACCTCTCATGAGCGGCCACACAAGCGCACAGCTTACAGCGAACACTGCTTAGTCACTTTAGAGTCCCATTAGCAGCATCTTTAAATTCTCTTCACTCTACTGGTTGAACATGAGGAAAATGAATGTAGGATCAAAAACAAAGGTGATAAATGCAGGAGGTGTGAGAAAATATTAGCTTAGTGGAATCACTGCCTTTTGTTTGTTCTATACAATGTAACCTGCAGCCCCGACTGTGTAATCAAAGGGGTGGCTGAGCATCCCACAAAATGTTTTGGGTTTAATGACTGTGCATTTTTCATCAGAAGAACACTTCCCCTTCCCCCCGATTTCTAACCAGTTGTCCCACATTTTCAAGGATTTTTTTTCAAGTCTTGAGATAGCACGAGGGGGTGATATGCTAAGCAGGTATCTCTTCCTGGGATCTGGAGCAGATGACTGACTCTGGAAAATGTTTAGGAAGCTTAGAACTGAGTTTACCCACTCCAGATATGCCAAGGTCCGGAGGAAATTCCGCTCTGCTAATGTTGCTCTCTTCTTCTCCCATGAGTATCTTCATGGTTTTTCCCACGCAACCACTTGTGAATGGAAAATCTTCTCTGAACTAGGCTATATCACTGCACCTTCAGCAGCACTGTTCTAAAAGCTTGCTAGTTTTGTAGAAACCCTAATTTGTGTGTGTGGGAGGAAGGGGTGAAAATATTTTTTGTAAACTTCTGTTGTAAAGTTGGAAAATGTTATCTAGAGCTCCCCTTCATGTCCTACCTCTCAATGTACTTGATGCTGATGGGAAGCTGCAAATTTCCCATCACAGCTCACAGTCAACCTCTGGAACTCCTTGCCAGAGGATGTCGTGAAGGCTAGGACTTTAACAGGGTTAAAAAAAGAGCTAGATAGAGTCGTGGAGGTTAGGTCCATTAATGGCTATTAGCCAGGATGTGTAGGAATGGTGTCCCTAGCCTCTATTTTTCTGGAAATGGGTGATAGGGGAGGGGTCACGTGAGGATCACTGGTTGTGTTCACTCCCTCTGGGGCATCTGGTATTGGCCACTGTCGGCTGATAGGATACTGGGCTGGGTAGACCTTTGGTCTGACCTGGTATGGCTGTTCTTCTGTTCAAATTGACAGTGGCGAGGGGAGAAGGTGGCTAATATACATGGTGAATTCAATATTTTTAATTATCAGAACGAGCCAGCCTATGTAAATGCACGCTCTTCTTGCTGTAAACGTCACCCTTTCCTATTGTTTATGTTTGCCTGTTGTGTCTTGCTTAAATTGGCCCATCTACGAATTGGTGGCAGGGACATTTTTCGGAAGGGTTTGTGCGGCACCCAGTGCTCTGTGCCTGATTGGAGCCTTTGCGGCTACTCTACATTGTTATAACCACCACAACAATATTATTATTATTAGATCCATTTTGAAGGCTGGCCCATTCCCTACCACCCGCCCTCCAGGAAATGCTAGTGCCTGTGAAATAGGTATCATGTGCTATAGGTACTATCCCTGAATTCCTTCCCTGAATGAGTAATGGGAGGAGAAAGAACTCCACATGCCGGAGGCTCTGTGCTGTCAGAAGGGATGATGTCATGGAGACCCTATCAGGATTTTGCACCTCTCCTCTGCACGGCTGAATGGCTACACCATTTGCTCTTTGCCCTTCGGCTCTGAAATCCCTTTCTTCCCCCCTTTCCAGCTGTGGATCTCATAGTCCTTAACCCAGCAGCTCATTAATGTTGTTTTCACTTCACAGATGAAGAAACTGAGGCACAGAGGTGCAGTAACACAGCAGGCCTGAGGCAGAAGCCAGGTCTCCTCAGGCCTGGTCTCCTCAGGCCTAGTCTATTGCTCTATTCACTTAGCCACAAGTTTAGAGGTGTGTTTCTTCTCTTGGTAATTTTCTGAGTCAATACTTAGTAAATACTATAAGCGGTGGATGTGTTATACCTAGACTTTAGTAAGGTGTTTGATATGGTCTCGCATGATATTCTTATTAATAAACTAGGCAAATACAACTTATATGAGGCTACTATAAGGTGGGTGCATAACTGGCTGGATAACTGTACTCAGAGAGTAGTTATTAATGGTTCACAATCCTGCTGGAAAGGTATAACAAGTGGGGTTCTGCAGGGGTCTGTTTTGGGACCGGCTTTTTTCAATATCTTCATCAACGATTTAGATATTGGCATAGAAAATAAGCTTATTAAGTTTGCAGATGATACCAAACTGTGAGGGGTTGCGACTAATCTGGAGGATAGGGTCATAATTCAAAATGATCTGGACAAATTGGTAAAATGGTCTGAGGTAAACAGGATGAAGTTTAATAAAGACAAATGCAAAGTGCTGCACTTAGAAAGGAGCAATCAGTTTCACACATACAGAATGGGAGGCGACTGTCTAGGAAGGAGTACGGAAGAAAAGGATCTAGGGGTTATAGTGGACCACAAGCTGAATATGAGTCAGCAGTGTGATGCTGTTGCAAAAAAAGCAAACATGATTCTGGGATGTTTTAACAGGTGTGTTGTGAGCAAGACACAAGAAATCATTCTTCCGCTCTACTCTGTGCTAGTTAGGTCTCAGTTGGAGTATTGTGTTCAGTTCTGGGCACCGCATTTCAAGAAGGATGTGGAGAAATTGGAGAGGGTCCAGAGAAGAGCAACAAGAATGGTTAAAGGTCTAGAGAACATGACCTATGAAGGAAGGCTGAAAAAATTGAGTTTGTTTAGTTTAGAAAAGAGAAGATTGAGGGGGGACATGAGAGCAGTTTTCAGGTATCTAAAAGGGTGTCATAAGGAGGAGGGAGAAAACTTGTTCATCTTGGCCTCTGAGGATAGAACAAGAAGCAATGGGCTTAAACTGCAGCAAGGGAGGTTTAGGTTGGACATTAGGAAAAAGTTCCTAACTGTCAGGGTGGTCAAACACTGGAATAAATTGTCCAGGGAGGTTGTGGAATCCCCATCTGTGGAGATATTTAAGAGCAGGTTAGATAAATGTCTATCAGGGATGATCTAGACAGTATTTGGTCCTGCCATGAGGGCAGGGGACTGGACTTGATGACCTCTCGAAGTCCCTTACAGTCCTAGTATTCTATGATTCTATAAGTATGTTCCTCTTCCCGCTGAAGCTTAAAGGTACAATTTTCGGTTTGAGTCAGAACATGGCAACCGGTTTGATCCAACACCCATTAATGAAAACAGGACTTTGTAATATTAAAAAAAGTGCTCCGTAACAGCCAAGTGTTGTTTAATTAATTACTTCATTTTCTTTACTTAATAGACTTTGGATACAGCTTAATGTCTGCTGAAACCTGTGTACAATTCAGTATTATTCCTCCAGATAGCATTCTCTTTGCATCTGGCAAAATCAAAAAGGAGCCATTTAAAAATTAGTATTAATAACATTAACCCAGGGCTGGTTTGCAAATCCTGGATGGTTTTCTTTGCACCAGGCAGTTTTGCATTTTGTTATAGGAGGGTTAATCTTTACCTGACCACACTTTCAAAATGTGGAACTGTTTCCAGGAAAATAGTGATATAAAATGGAAAGGAGATGCAAGATGCTGAAGCTTTCAGATTGGCAAGGGTAAATTGCAGTTGCGTCACACAGCTGGGCCTCTGCCAATGAACACAGACACAGCAATGCAGGGGTGGAAGTTAGCTACCAGATGTTGCGACGGGCTTGTCTTCCCCTTGCAGCATTTCACAGCTCCTGGATTAAAAGTGGAAGAAATTTTTGAACTAATGAGGCGCTGACACAATTGATGGGAAATAGAAATTTGCCAGAGGCCACTTTGTAACTGTCTGTCAGATTGTACTAAATTGAAATGTTGCTGTAGAATGAATGGTAGAACTAGTGTAGACAACCCATCTATGCCAAAAGTAATAAGGATGAACCATGTGGCTGGAGAAGTGGCAGATGCTGATAATACATTGGACTAGGGCCATGTCTGTACTTACCTGGAGGTTCAAATTAAGATAGGCAACTCCAGTTACATGAATTGAGTAGCTGGAGCTGACATACCTTAATTTGATCTTTCATGCTGGTTTCACAGTGGGAGGATGACAGGAGCAAACACTTTTCTCAAGTTCCCTTACTCCTCACAAATCAAGAAATGCCGATGTCGAAAGGGGTGCCCTCTTTGTTCACTTAAGCGGGTCT